AAGTACCAATGTTTGTAAATACACATATGTCAACACTTCACTATCGAATGTAAATAAAGGCGTCCCCTTTATTTATTAGTCTGAGGTAAATATAAGATTTTTAATCGATCACTATTTTTCGCGCCCTCCGAATTCGCATTATAGTCGCTGGCAGCTAACTTTCACAAGCCTCCAGCCTTTACCAGTGTTCTATATCCTGCGTGGCCTTGAAAATGATACCACGATATCTACATTCGAGCTTAACCAGTCAAGCACGGAGGCTTGTTGCCACCTTCCATCTCTTTTTAACAAGCGAATCTTTCAATATAGCTCTTCTTCTCTACCACCTCGGCGATCGGAGTTGTATGTTCTAGAGATGGGCTAAACTGCTCTTTTTGCGGAGCAGTGACACCTGCTACTGCTCCGAGCAGTGACAAATAGCTGCGATTTTTCGGAACAGCTCCTGGTAGCGCGCGCATACATTCCTACCGTGATATGTTCCCTTATTTTCGCGTCAAAGTTCATAAATCGACACTTGTCGTGCTTAATAGCGGCTAGCGTTAGGGAATAGGGATACTTTCGTCATGCGCTGTTTTTCAAGCATGTGCCAACTTTCGTAGATTTAGCTCAATTTGTTATTTCGCTTTTGCATTATTTATTTGAATTTGATATAGCGTTATCTGTTATTTTGTCCTAAGTTACTACTGATAAACTTTTATTACAAATAAAATTGGACATGGATAAACGAAGAAAATCTTTCCTGTGGAATTTATTTTTACCAACGCATGAAAGTAAAGCTTGTTGTAATATATGCAAGCAAAATATTTGTTATAAATCTTCAATCACCAATTTAAAACGACACATAGAACAACGACACCCTACAGTGAGTACAGTGCCAGATATTCAAAATTTTTCCGCGAGTGCAACAAAAACAAATGAAGAACAGTCGCATGTTTTTTGCTTAGTCTAAGTTTTAAGTGATTTTGTAAACAAAAACTTTTAAAATATTTGTAGAGTAGCAACCAGCAATACACGCCTTGCTCTAGTCGCTGAAATACAATGTCTTTTAATCAAACGCGACTGTATTATATGTTTAGTGTGTGACACTGCGACTAATTCAAAATCCAAGCACAGTTCGCAACGGCTGAGCGAGAATCTGCTCTGCTGTGGCCGGCACGCCTGAGCTATGTCTCTGGCGCTAGTAAATTGCTCTTTGCAGTAAATGCTCCGAAAAATCACTGCTTCTTTTGTCGCAGCGGAACAGTCAGCTCCAGTGACAACTGCGGAACAGTGCCAAAGTAGCAGACAGTGAAAGAGCAACACATCTCTATATGTTACAATGTTACATAATAAATTAAAAACATTGGTCATCTGTGAGTGCGCGATTTTTTGTTTTTAACTGGTGTTTACGTGAAGTTTTTCTTAAGAATTTTTGTGGGACGATCATAATTAATTAGTAAAACAATCATTTACATACTCTGATACGTATTTAACTTTATTAAAATAAAATGAGTGTGGAAAACGAACATAACCTCAACAACTTCTTTAGTTGCATGGACATTGTAGATTATTTATTAATAAAAGGATTTAGTACTCTCAGTTATGATGAAAAGCTCATAATTAAACAGAAATCGATACCAACATCTTTGCCGTCTTTAGTTGAAGTGGGCAAAAAAGAAAATAGGGGATTTAACAATAATAATTATAGAAAAAAACAACTGGTAACTGGTTAACTGCATCGACTATTAGAAATAAATTATTCTGCTGGCAATGTTTATTTTTAACTAATGATAATTTATTGGTTTGGGGCAGGGTCGGTTTTAACAATTTAAAAAATGTAACGAGAGGCCTCGAAAGACACGAAAAATCGCAAGAACATAAGTATTTCATCGCGTATTAAATCTGAAATGTTCGGTAAACAGAATATTGTAAACGCTTTAGATTCTGTTCACAAAACGGGAATACAATATTATAATGAGATAATAGAGATATTTTAAATAGACTAATCGATGTAGTCATATTTTTATCGTCTCAAGAAATTTCTTTTCGCAGACATGATGAAAAAGTAGATTCTGCTAATCGAGGGAACTTCAAATAGTTAATAAATTTATTATAAACACGATTCAAATTTGCAGAATTTCTTAGATAATGCCACTGTATTTTCGGGAACCTCTAAAACCATTCAAAACGATTTAATTGATAGTATTAGTTCAATTATCAAATGTAAAATTTATGACAAATTAAATAATTGCGAATTTTTCTCCCGGCAAGTTGATGAAACCACGGATGTTACCTGTAAATCTCAATTATCGGTAATTTTTCGATACGTAGTGCATGGAGAAGTTGTTGAAATTTGTTGGATTGTCTGACATAATAAGTGGGAGAGATGCAGATAGTTTGTTTAAATTATTAATTAATGAATTTGGAAAATTTGACATAAAATAAATTAATTGCTCAAACCTATGATGGTGCCGCGGTAATGTCAGGTCATGTTAATGGACTTCAAAGAAAAATAAAAGACGTCGCTCCTCAAGATTATTTTAATCAATGTTACGCACATACACATTAAATTTAGTTTTAAGTAAAGCTTGCAACGGCATTAAAGAAGTGAGAATTTTTTTCAAATCTTTCCGGATTTTCGTAACTTTTTTTCCAAATCTACTAAAAGATTTGACGTATTAAATAAAATAATGCAACACAGAATTCCAAGTAATGCTCCCACTCGTTGGAATTTTTCTTCTAGAGCTGTTTTTATGGTCAAAACTTATAGAAAGAATCTTATTGAGATTTTTGATTTCAAATCGGATAGTGAGGATTTTTTAAATGATCAATAAACTTTAGGATTCGTTTATGGATTAAAATAATTATTGTTGGACAAAAATTTAATTTTTTTCTTGAAAACCTTTACAATGATTTTCGAATAAACCTGTTGTATTCCAAATTTTGCAGAATAAATTAACTGACGTAACATTTTCTAAAAAACGAATTAATTCACTTTTATCAAAATTAAAAGAATTCTGTAATAATGAGATACATTTCAACACGTTATATGCACTTTTCTTAGAAGACATTGACGAAACTTTTAATGATGACCCGCCCTCAAAGAATAGAAAGACAAGTTTAAAGTTTCATTCATTTCAAGCCTCCTCTATCAAAGATACCACGAGCCGCCACTGCTATGGATACCTCAAGAAAAAAAAAATCGCAGTCAACGATTTACTGATACAATATTTCAAAACCTAAGCAGTATTTCGTTTGATTGTAACAAAAAAAAACAGCGATTTACAGATATGAGAAAGATGATATTATTAGATCTTTTTCTGGGGTGGGCATTGCACATCCCTGCTCCCCTGCTTAATATATAAATATAAATAGGTTCTTTGTTCAATTCTTCAGTCCATATGTGAAACATTAAAATGGGGGTAAGTAAATAGAAAGCAGAATTATTCTCCCATCATTGGGATACAGCATACAGCAAATAGAAAGCAGAATTCCTCCATATATTTTTTTTATTATTAACATTTACATAGTGTTATTAAACGCAACAATATGTTATATATAAAACATCATGTGGTAGGTACTATAACATTTTTGCATATATTCTTCCATATTAAACAAAAACTCCATCACTACAAAAAAAAATAGTTAAAACGATTAATTAACCTTATATTATAGTATATACAGGAGACTGAAGTACAACAAACTACTAGACGAAAAATAAATATTTTAGTTAGATATATATGAAAATAGTTGTAGAGGTAAAGATAGTGAAGCACCGATTTATTAACATTACGGAGCTAAAGAAAAGCATTTCTAGAAATTAGCAATATTTTAGTATCATAAGAACTAAAACAATACATAAATGTAATAACCTTAGGGACAGGGAGGACAACAGCACCCAGGATTGTTTGGGACTCCGCCAGGCAGGTACACACATCGAGCATAAAACGGAGGATTCCAAGCAGTACAATAAGGAGGGTCAAATATTCTGTAACAGAATAAGCAAGGATCGCAGATTGGAGATTTATTATCCATTAGTACACTTATAATTTTTCCTCAGGTTTTGAAAATTGTTATTTTTTCTCTGCTTGTCACAAAAGTATTTATATTGCATGGATATCTAGTTATTATTTACCTGAAATATGCAAATTTCTAATTGGTTACGTAAAATATCCACTTACATAAACAAATAACTTCTAACCGATTTGACTTGGTCTTGGTCTGATCTGAAGCTAGTATGCCCTAGATAATATATAAATGCTATATTTTTACTATATATTCAAAGAGTGCTGACTGCTAAAGCGCAATTTTTCTTTGCTAGCACATAGAATAAACCTAAACTCCGTCTTATATTGGGCGGGTTGGCAAACTTATTAGTGTTTCCACGAAATTTTGAAAAAAATAAACGATTTATGCAAGTCAGGTTAAGTTAGGGTAGGTACTACTATATGTACTATGTATATTTAAATATTTATACTTGACAAAATGTATCACTTATAAGTTTTGTGGTACTGTGGGATTTTAAAACATCAGCTTATGAATTATGTTGTCCGCGTCTAGCGGCGGAATTTTGGTATGTTCCAAAATTAGCGATTTTGGGTCTATATTCTACTTGGGTAAAAGCTGCTGCTGAAAAATATGGTGTTAGATACATCAAGAGCTCCATGCTTCAAATGTTGTCTTAGTTATAAAATTATATATTTGACAGATGTTCATAAAATTTGTAGTATCGAAATAAAATATTCTGCACACTTTTTCCAAAATGTCGAATACATCGAATACAAGCAATGGAGCTTGTTGTAAACCTGCAACTGGCGGCATTCCATTCGGCACTCCTGCTATATATATACGTTGTCCATGTATGATACCATGCTGCACTTGTTATAGTCCTTGTGTTTGTGAACCTTGTACTCGTCGTCCCCCGCCTTGTTGTACCCCTTGCTGCCCACCCTAAGATCAGTAAATGTTTTCAAAAAGGTAATGTGCAAACGTTATACAAATACAACTATATTATAACTACTTACATTTTGAAAGTGTCACTTTTACTCATAGAGTTAATAGTGTTAATAGTATATGTATGTAGTCAAAGCCGACTTTTTGCGCATTTTAGCTGTTCCAACAAGAACAGCGAAAGCCGCGGACATTTGCCCTAAGTCACGTGACCTAGAATTAGGGATGGGCAAAAATAACCAGTTAAATGAATAACCGATTATTGTGTGTCGGTTAACCGGTCAAAAATCGGTTATTTCCCGAGTTCAGTTTAACCTGACAACCGATTATTTATGTCAAAAACCGCGTGCCGGTTATTTTATCGAGACCGAGTGAAAATTTAAGTTCTAACTCACAATGCAGTATACGATTAAAGTATATTGTGCTCTAACCCTAAACTTGATAGTAAATCAGACTTAAGCCATCGTCGGCTGGACATTCTATTTAGTGGTCTGTGGGTCGGACTATGCTAATTAGGCTTCCTTGACGGGCTGGGCGGGTTGCAGTGGAAATTGCGCGGGCAAATTGCATATTTTAGGTTAGGTGTGCTGTACGAGTGCGACTTTCAGACTTGTCTACTTTTTCTATTAAAGAAATACAGAGATAAATTAGAGCACTTTTATTTATTAGAGAGCACTTTTATTGCATTTTTATGTTTTAATTTTTATTTAGTAATTTATTATTTGAAAATGAAACAAAACATGTTTGTGATAATTGTTGCCTCTAAATGTTACATCATTGTTTTCTTTAATAAATTCTCACAAAAATTTAAAAGGGCCGGTTATTTCAATAACCGGTTTTTAGGTAGAGGTTAACCGATTCAGGTTTAACTGATCAAGAAAAATAACCGGTTAACCAATAACCGGTTATTTTTCAATAACAGCCTATTGTAGGTAGGGACCTACAATGCAAATAGCGCGCTACATTGATTTGAAAAGGAATTCTATTTCTTATTATGAAATTGACTCTTTTTAGTAGTAACATAATAATAAGTATTAAAAATACGAAAATTTTTAATTTAATTTTTTCAAAGACAATATAATAAGCTTTATTAAATTTTTATACTTTATAAAACAATATTTGTACATTAAATGTTTTTTAAATATGAAATAAATAGAAGGCAGTACTAATTTATTATTTTATTCAAATAGATAAGGACACAACTACAATTGTTCAAGAAATAAAATTAATTGTTTTTGTTCCCACACATATAATAACATATTTTAATAAATGCAACTTCATTATACTACTTACATTCTTAATATTATTCTATAATATATAATATTCTTAATAGACCAAAAATGTAGTTCATACAGATTTAGTACTGATTACCATAGATCTAATAAATCTATGCTGATTACATTACATGACATATAGAACTGTCAAATCTATGCAATAAAGCCGGTTACATAGTGGATTACCGTATGACGTAGAACGTAAGACTTAAGACGTATACCCATAAGGTACGTAGAAGGATTTTACAGAATACTTCGTTTACGTTTTAAGGCAACCCAATGAGAGTGCGAGCCACTTGCATATGTCGTATAGTATAACCTTAAAACTTATAATAACATAAACAATCTGACCAAACCATAATTAACTTATTTTCTGTGTATTGTGTAGGTAATAATAATATGGATGCATTAACTGTAATATCGTTATGTGTCAATGTTATGGGTATATTATTTCTTCAAAAGGAGAAAACAGGTTGAACAGAAGGTGGTGGACAAGACAAGTGCACATGAATTCATGAAACTACAATAATTCAATAATATTTGTAATTAGATCGGTCTTGATGTCGTGAAATCTGCACAAGGTCATTTAATCAAAAGAAGCAGACCTTGCCTTGCGAGAACAATTCTTATTGGTTGTCATTTTTACGGTAAACGTAAGAATTCATCCTTACTGAAATTTTCAACATCTTACGTAGTCTTACGTTTTATGAGCATATTGTGTAAGAAACCGTTTAAAGTTACATGTTGGTTTTTACGTTTTACGTAATACGCCATAAGTTTTACGGTCAGCTATTCTGTAACCGTCTTAAGACGTCCTAGATAGACTAAAAATCGCGCGTGATAAGTCTGAATATGCCATAAAACACGAGACCCTAGACTATTTTCATCTCATTTTACATGTTGTCCCCTGCCCTCTATCTCTACATTACATCCATAGTATAATTAGATCTATGCTTTTACTATACATAAATAATACTTATAACAACAAATATATTAGAATAAGTACTAAAAAAAAATACAGTAAATAGTACTTTTTGCATAGAACTGAAGACTTAAAAATTATAATTTTAAACTGTTTTAGAAAATGAATCGTATTCGAATTTTTTTATTTTAATTTGTATTTTACTACAATTAAACTACATAATTTATTTCAGTTATGTATTCATGAAAACATCCTACTGAGTATTCTATGTTTAATTCTTATTTTAGAAAACTTTTATGACGTAGATACTGCAATTAATAAAAAGTTGTTAATCTGTTATTTTTATTGTAATTAAACTAACTACACGAAATAATCAAGAGTTTAATTGTTGAGACAGAATTCCAAGATCCCTGCCAGTGCCTGATTTACAGGGTGTAGGCTGAAAATTGGTGGGGGCCTATTCAAATTTTAAGAATAAAAAATTATATTTTTCAGAATAATTTTTCTTTCGGTTCATGGTGGGGTCTTAAAAAAAAAAAATTTGTTATCACGGTGGGGACCCCTAGTTGGTGGGGGCCTGTAGGCTGCAGCCTACACCAGCCTACAGGTAAATCAGGCACTGATCCCTGCGTCACTTTCTTAGAATTAATCGCAATCGACACCCGAGATAGAAAGACATTAGCGGAAAATTACAAGGCACGCCCCTATTCTATCTCAACAAATATTGTACGGACTTTTAATTGTGCTAGTAACATATGTTTACAACATATTTTACCTTGTTTTCAACTTTATTTTATTTTTCTAATATGCAAAAATATTTTCTAGGGTTTCAAATTGCCGCATGAAAAATCTGTTTATAGAATATGAAATATCCCGCAGAAGTGTAGATGTTATAATATAACACAGCTATGTATGTTTTTTTTTTAAATAAATGTAATACCTATATATAATTGTTGTTTTTTTTATGCTATTTTAGAGATCTAATGCCTTTTAGCATCTCAAAATATGTTTTTCGAAAACTGTCATTAAAAGCTGATTTTTATGTTATTTATTATAGCTGTTTTACATTGACAATTTATTGATGAATAAATTGACGAAGTTCTTCATGAATTAATTCACGAATTTATTAGTAAACAGTGTGGTTTTACACTGCTACAGACTTTGACAAGTTTTTTGCCGCATGAATCAGTTCTATCAAAGAAGCAAATAAATTTCAAAAATGTCACCCTTCCACTCATAATTGTAGTGTTACAACAGCGGTACCGCTTTGACACATATTATATAAATATTAGTGTTTGTAAGTAACAATAAATCAGTAAAAACAATGAATAACTAGTACGACGCCACACACGCGCCACGCGCGCGCGCGCCATTATTCTATGGCTAGAAATTGGCCTCAATGATTTGGGATCGAGGGGGATTATCCCTCTTTATCCTGCCTCATCTCGTGTAGGCCTGGACAGCCTTCGTAGGTGGGCCCCATCCGTCGTCTACCCCGACCGCAAATGCGGCCGGTGTAGGCGCTTTGTGGGACCTCCTTTTGTCCTGGCTGGGCCCCGCCGGCTAGGGCCCTTTCTTCTGGCGCTCTTCTTGCTTCGCCGGCTCGTCTGTGTAAACCCCGGGGGTAGTGTCATGTTTATGTGTGGTATGGTTGGGTAGGGTAGTGCGGCTATGCAGCCTGGGATGCGCTTTGCTAAGGNGGTGTAGGTAGGATTTTATGAGTTTGGTAAAGGATATGGGATATTGGTTGGTGAGCATTTTCATCAGTAGGCCTTCATGCCAAACCGTATCGAAGGCCTTTGCGACGTCCAGGAAGACAGCACCAGTGTACTGTCCCCTGTTGAAGGCCGCCGTGATGTGCTCGGTAAGGCGAAGGATTTGGAGTTCAGTGGAGTGATTGGGTCGGAAGGCGAACTGCTCGTCTGGAATGACTTGCAGTTCTTGGGAGTGGGTTCTTAGACGGGTTAGGATAATTTTTTCTACCACTTTGCTCATAGCCGGGAGCAGGCTAATGGGCCGGTAGTTGGATGGGATGGTGTGATCTTTGTTGGGTTTTGGGATAAGGATTATGTTTGCTGTTTTCCAGCGGGTAGGGAAGTGTCTTAGTCTGAGTGTCGCGTTTGTTATGTTTAGTAGGGCCATGAGGCCCTTGTGTGGTAGTCGTTTAAGTGTCGTGTTATGTATATTGTCGGGTCCGGGGGCTTTTCTGTTTTTAAGTCTGCGTATTGTCAGTCTTAGTTCGTCAGGTGTTGCGGGGGGGATTATGTCATTGTCTGGCTCTCTGTCGACACGTCGGGCCGCGCGCTCAGCCACTATCTCGAATTCCTCGTCTTCGTCGGGCAGCTGAGGCAGTCTACACTGCAGTTCTAGGCTATCGGCGAAAGCCTCGGCCTTTTCCTGGTTCGTGTAAACCACCCCCACACTACCGTGGATTGGAGGAATGACGCCACACAATTATTTACATATTCCAATACCATAACCTCATTACTGATCTCGCCATTATTCCATGGCTAGAAATTTTGGGATCGAGGGGGATTATTCCTCTTTATCCTGCCTCATCTCGTGTAGGCCTGGACAGCCTTCGTAGGTGGGCCCCATCCGTCGTCTACCCCGCCGCAAATGCGGCCGGAGTAGGTGCTTTGTGGGGCCTCCTTTTGTCCTGGCTGGGTCCCGCCGGCTATGGCCCTTTCTTCTGGCGTTCTTCTTACTTCGCCGGCTCGTCTGTGTAAACCCCGGGTGTGGTGTCATGTTTATGTGTGGTATGGTTGAGTAGGGTAGTGTGGCTATGCAGCCTGGGGTGCGCTTTGCTTTTTTTTCATATTTGCTATATAAAACAATCTAATAAATGTAAAACTCTGACGAGATCAAATTGTATCAAAAGAATATAAATTTTCCCTTCATTTTTGTTGTTGGCAGCTCTGTGGTGGCACAAATGTGTTTTTGTCGGCTTTGTGGTGGCATTTCTGTATCTGCCACTCAAATTATCTGAAACAACTTCGGATTGGCATTGTAGAAAGTAAGTTTGCGTTTAGGGGTTAAATTTGTCTGTTAAAAAAAAGAACACCTCCAAAAGATTATTTTGGTAGATTAGGAAATGGCTCTAAATCCACAATATGAAGCGATAGGAAAAGGATTTGTACAACAATATTATGCATTATTTGATGACCCAACTCAAAGGCCTAATTTGGTTAACATGTATAATGCAAGTTTATGTAGGAAAGTATATCTCATATTTCTAACATTTAATAATATTTACAGGTGGAACTATCGTTTATGACCTTTGAAGGTGTTCAGCTACAAGGATCTGTGAAAATTATGGAAAAATTAAATGTAAGTTTAAACTAATGTTATCATTAGCCTAAGATTTTTTTAATAGGCATACATTTTTTAGTCTCTATCATTTCAAAAAATAAATAGGATAATAACTGCAGTAGACTCTCAACCGATGTTTGATGGTGGTGTTTTAATAAACGTATTGGGAAGGCTGCAGGTAAGTTATTGCATATTTAAATTTTATAGTCATTTACATTGAATTGTTAATAGACAGATGAAGATTTGCCCCACGCTTATGTGCAAACATTTGTACTGAAACCAATAGAGGGAAGTTTTTTCGTACAACATGATATATTCCGTCTTGTCCTTCATGATACTATTTAGCCCATTGGCCGAGCCTTTGGCAGTATGTATTATACTTGCTAATCTTGCACCATTTAATTTAAGCTTCATAGTCTTACTAACGCAGATGTAAATAGTCTTCCAAATAAGTTTATTACAAATTGAAAATATTTAATTTCTGTTAAATGTTTACTCAAGTTCTGCATTTCGAATATGTTCGTTTTGCTTTGACACATTGTAATTTAAATCTTTTTTATCAAAACTTCTTATACTCGTAACTTCAGACAAGTATTTAAATTGAAGTAACATATACCTATGTACTTGGTACCTAACTAATGTCCTATAAATATTGTTTTTTTGAGATGTGCCAGAATTTTGCTAACGATTTTGTAATAGCTGTTTATGTAGCAAACGATATAATAAATAATTCAGTACAAGCCCCACAAGTCACTAAGATGAAATTTATTAAGTGACATTTCTTTTAAACTACAACTTGTCTAAATGAACAATTTTGACTAAAAATGATTTTCCGTAGAGACTTGTGAGGGTTCCTTGTCAATTTTTCCTATTACTGCTAAGTATATATGTATTTCTCAAACGGTATTCAAAGAGTGTAACTTTGTAATGTAGATTTTTATAAATTTAACCCTTTCGCTGCACAGTACGTCTGAGCGTAGCCACCGCGCCATGCGCGAAAGTTTATCGCGTGCGAATATATATGTCCGGAGCAGTTGGACCACTTATAGTTACATTATGTTGTGTTAAATTACGATTTACGATTTTATTTTAAATAAAATACAGCATAATGACAGCTGTACTAATAGAATCTGAAAGAGAGATGAAAAATCTTGGCATTATTACCAGTACCTCCTTTTATAAAAATATTTGTCACAATCGCTATAAGTTCCGCCCGCAAAAATTCCCTATACCAATTGCAAGAACCGAGTCACTAATGCGCATGGTTGCAGATATATACGGTTTGAACAGCCTGATCCAATTTAAATATTCAAGCGGATTTATCCGTCTGGAGCAGTGTGAGCCCTATAAATTTTTAGCGAATAAATACGTCTGGAGCAGTGAAAGGGTTAAATTTTAAATACAGATTTACTTTCATATATGTAATTCATGTCATTAGTTAAATATTTGTTGAAATGCGAATTCAAATAGATTTCTTATTTACTTTTGTACAAATGGCAATAGCAAAAGTTAAAATGCAAATCATAATAAATCCTACAAATGATTGTCAATAGTTCTTGATGTCATGATTTTTTAATTATTTATCAAAAAGTAATATCTGCTTCCGATCCTGAAAGTGATCTACAAATAGAGGTCACATACTTTTTTTATAGATATTTTGAATGTTTGGACCATTATTTTTTTTTTGTATAAAATGTCAACGGAATCAGTCTATAAGATGTGATTTATAGGAATACAGGCCATTAAAATAATAAGTAAACCATTAATGAAGCTAAAATATTTTTTTAAGTAACCTAATAAAAATCTATTTGTGTCCCAAAATGATGCGACAAAATTCATGTTTTTTTAGTTCAGATTTTAAAAAATCACTGAAACAGGTCAATTAGTAAATAGAAATTGTCACTTTTCTGACCTATAACATTACCGACATTTTTTTTTAATTGGAAGCTCTATATTTTATAGTATAAATAGATAGCCCTTCTAAAGACGAATTCAGCGATATAAGGTTATACCTACTTTTTTGTCATAGTTCATAGTAGTCAAAAAAATATAAAAATTTGTCTTTTATGACTGACAACTATTTCAAACAATCATAGTCTCTTCTGTACTAAAAAACATACCTACTCTTTATTCTACTTACTTTAAAACTTTTTTTTCTCAAAAAAAAAAACGCATCGATAAACACATAAAATTCACCACAGTACGTACCTTAGGTATAACGTGAATTGTTTTAGTTCCAATTCATTCTTGTTAAATTATTTTGAAAAATGGTTGCCTGTTTAAGTGAAAAACAGATCATTGAAATTTTAATTATGAATGTATGCCTCCGCATTTTATCTCCATAAAATTCGTAGTCAACAGGAGATATGTGACTTATTTCACCATAACTAACCAGACCAGAGAATTAGTCGAGCTACAATAAGTAAAGTATTCAAAAAGTTTGAAGAAACCGGAAGTATAAAAGATTTACCTGGATCAGGAAGACGAAGAACGGTAAACGAAAATGACCGTCAAAATGTGATGTTTGCCATTACTGAAAATCCTCACTCATCCATTAGATCTATCTCAGCCAACTTCAACTTGTCAAAGTCCTCAGTTCACAGAACTCTGAAGTCTCAAAAGTGGCATCCTTACAAAGTTATTGTCTTAAGGCGGGTATCCATTTGTGTCAAATGCCCCGTAACGTAATACCGAACATGTTACGTTACAGCTAGTGGAGACGAAAAATTGTTGCATGGTGTAACAAATTTGACACGTGTAACTACTCCGGGACGAACCATCAGTTGTCGGTTTTTAGTTGTCGCATCACAGGGATGCAACAGTACTTTCTGCCACATGTTGAGACGGGGGTTACCCTTTTGGAAGTAACGTTGCCTATTGCACATGATTTTGTCTTAATTGTTGTTTCGTGTCTTTTGTATATGGTCTGGGGTCAGTCTGTTTTCTGCAGTGACTAGGAAGAGTGTATTTTTCTGTGTTTGTGCCATGGAGTGGAGTAAAGAAAACATTCAAAACCTCATAGAGCTGTATCATAAAAAGTCTATACTTTGGGATCCTCAAGATCCCGATCATAAAATTAAAAAGCAGGATGCGTGGGCAGAAATCGCAGACGAAATAGGAAGACCTGTGTAGCATTGCAAGAAGAAAATGGAGAACCTGTTAGCATCCCTTCGCAGGGAATCCATTGCAGTCAGATTCATATTGCGAGTTTATGTTCCTGTGTCGTCTTGTAACCTTATTTTGTTACGTTATGGAATGAATGATACAACCAAAACCACACATACTTTCGCAGCGAACCGTGTCGCCTTTTGCAACAGGCCGTTACATGTGCATTGTTCCATTACGGAGCATTGCCACAAGTGGATACCGCCTTTACAAGAACTGTGGGCAGATGACACAGATAGAAGATTACAGTTTTGCGAGAAAGTTAGAAATTTATTTGAAAGAGAAGCCAACTTAAAAAATTACATAATTTCCACTGATGAAGCAACTTTTTGCTTAAACGGAACCGTGAACAGACAAATTACTAGGTTTTGGAGCCCAGAAGATATGCATTGGATGCAAGAAAAATATACACAACGGGTGGAAAAAGTGAATGTTTGGGCTGGAATAGTAGGAAATCGCATACTGGGACTTTATTTCTTTGAGGGCAATTTGACAAGCGACATTTATTTGGATTTTCTCTGTTTTCAGCTGATTCCAGCCCTGGAATTAATTTTTCCTAACTTGATGGCAGGATATGCCTGCTGGTGATGTCTAGTTCCAGCAAGACAAGACATTTTCGCCTCAATGAAAGAAATTACCTTAATGAAGTTTCCCATATCGATGGGTAGGCAGAAGAGGGCCGTTTGAACCCCACTAGATTTTTTTTTGCGGGGTTATTTAAAATGCAAAGTGTTTGTGAACAGACCAGACACTATCGAAGGATTGAAAAGTCTTATCAGAGAAGAAGTTCGAAAAATCATACCAAATATTATTTTCAAAATGTAATTGATAACTTTGAACACCGAATTGAGTATTGTGCAATGGTTATTGGGGGCCACTTTGAACATTTGCTGTAATAAAATAAAAAGTAGTACTAAATTATTGTTTTCATTTAATTCCTCCATTTTTTGACAACTATAACAAAAAAGTATATATAACCTTATATCACTGAATTATATATTATATTAATATGTATTTAAAATTGAAAAAAAAAGTTATAGACGGCCATTCCAAGGGGTGAATAATGTGGAGCTTTTCGATTTTACATACAATTTTTCAAAAATTGTCCCCCCAAAAAATCATAACTTGTAGGATTCAAAATTGAGGAAGCAAGAAGTTTGCAAATATACGCCTTTTTAGGATTTGTTTAATAAAGAAAATACTTAAACTTAATTTGTTTTCTGCTTATTGTGTTAATGGCTTGTAAATTGAAACACTGTGTATTCATTTCCATTTAAGATATGTTTAAAAACATGACTTAAAATTTGATACATTAAATAATCTTCATCCTTATATCAATAAAGTTAGTTATTTTTCTAAATTTTTGTTACATGTAACATAGTATCAAAATGCATGATAAGCATGTATGTGTACTGATTTGATTTACCTTCTCTAAGAACACAGCTTTAGAAGCATATAGTTTTGTTCATAGCAAAACCAAATAATTTTGTATTATATGCCATAGTTATCAAAGCATTTCGTGATTATTCTATGAGCAAAGCTGGTAATAGTTTGTGAGCCACCTACCTTTAAAACTTCTGATTTTCTTCTGACTTCTGACTGAGTATTTGATGTAACTAAATTAATTTTTTTTTTAATTTTTCAGGCAGATGAAGATCCCCCACATGCATTTTCCCAGATATTTGTTTTAAAACCTTTAGGAAACTCATTTTTCGTTCAACATGATATTTTCAGATTGGGAATTCATGATATAGCATAAGTCATATATTGAATTTTTATATTGTATTTCTTGCAAAATTATTCTTAAAAGCTACACTACACATATACTACTTTCCTTTAATGCTTGTAATCATTCATAATTAATTATAATTAAAGTTATTTTCAAAAAATATATATTTTTCTTTCATATTAAAAGTTTAACCTGAGTATGATAATCTTTTTGAAAATAAATAGGTTTTTTTTAAGATTATATTTCCAAAAATTCTCAGTATTCTAGATACAAAGTACAAAATGAACAGTTGTTTAAATTAAATTTGGTACACATTATTCGTGGATAGTAGGTTGCCTTAATAGGTGGTAATAGCAAGTATCCTAAACAACCAATGGCAGAGATATGGAAACCCCTTTAATTAATACAAAATTAATATTTTTAAGTGTGCTATACATCTGTTGACACTGACATTAGATCTTATTCACTTGTATAAATCAACAGTATAAAATTTTTAACTATGATAAAATTTTGTCTTAAAAATTCATCTAAGACTAAAAATTTGCTCAAAATGGTTTATTTTGTGACATTCAACACGTATTTCATACTAAAAAATTAGGAAAATTTCGAATTATCAGAGGAACACTTTTAATTGATCCGTAACATCACAATACAGTACAGTATGTACATACAACTTCAATTTTCAACTGGAAATACTGTACTGTTTGAAATATTGTTCCATTTTAAAACAATAACAAAACATGAAAGAAGCAGTGTGAGTGAAAGGTTAAGAACTGTATACTGCATCAACATAGAACTGATTTGCTCTTAACTGTTTGAAACATGAGAAATCACACACAAAATATGTTCTATGCTTAAGCAGGACGAAAAAAATGCATAATGTTCTTTTACTTAGCAGACGACAACCTTGATTTTGCCGTTCTGCCATCCACAAAATGTCTATTGGGGTAGATGTAGAACTTTGTTTGATGTATTGAGGTGCTATATCAAATGCATGTTAAGACCTGACTTTAGCGGCAGCCCGTGTACGTAAAATAGGTAAATAAACACCCGAAATGGGATGACTGGTCTAAGCAGGGAGTCGGACTGAGGTGGGATTAACGAGATTCTACTGTAGGGTGTCCTGATACTTAATACAAAAATTCGAGTACAGATAGATGAGGTCAAAATAATATCAGTTTTTCATAGAAATTTTTTTCATAAGAAGTCCATCGGGTTAAAGTCTGGAGAACGAGGTGGCCATAAAATTGCGCCTCTCCCAATCCATTTATTATTACAACACAATAATAAATAATTTCGTACATCAAGATTGAAATGGGGAGGAGCTCTATTGTGCATGAAACAAAGGTTTCTTTGGGTGTCTAATGGAACATCATCTAATAGCGGCTGCAAATTATTTTGCAAAAACTCCAAATATCGATGTCCATTCAGACGTTCCTAAAAAATGTATGGACCTATTAAATTATTACCACAGAAATGCTTTTTCATGTACAAACAAATAACATGCGTGGTCTTAGGAAGTTTGTGGAGGTGGAAGGTGCCCATATTGAAAATGGATATTGACAGTTTTCCATCTTTTAAATTTTTTAACTTATTTTTCTGTGTAGTGTGTTTGTCAAATTTTGTTAGTAAAAATTACATTAGCACACAGTAAGATTTTCTAGGCTCTTATTTTAAAAATATGTACGCTTCTAACATAGTAATTACGTGCAATAAAAAATTAAAAACAAAAAATGGTGGAGGCACCGCTCGAGTGCACTTTGACATAAAATAACAAATATTTCCTAAACTGTTAATTTTACAGTTGAATCAAGTGGGTACTTATTTTTGATACTTCTAGGTTGTTAACCATTGGGCATAGTCCGTCCCTGGCGTTCTGGGCATAATGAAGTTTCATTTACTACATCAAAAACAAGCTGTACGCATGTGTTATCGATCACCAAATTTGCATCATGCTGATGTTAATAGTTTAGAGACTAAATAAGATTTTAATTTTCAACTTTGAGGGTCCGTAACTTGTTACCGAAGGCCCCTATGGAAAAAATTTATATGAAGAACTGATATTATTTTGACCTCATCTATCTGTACTCCAATTTTTTGTATCAAGTACCGGGACACCCTGTATGTTCATAAAGATGTTTATCCAGTCCTAAAGGTTTTTAGAAAATGTATCTACTGAAAGGGTTGCAAATATGAATCTAACTGGTGTTATAGAGGCGGTTGCTTTATGTACTGTATAGTTTTTGTGGATTATACGAGGTTTGATCAAAAAGTAATGAGAATTGTAAATTTTTTCAGAAAGTATTTAATCTTCGATTTTTATACATCCCCTTTAAAGTAACTTCCAGTGATATTACACACTTATGCCATCATAGTTCCCAGGTTGAGAAATACTGGTGGAACCGCTCCTTAGGTATCTTTTTGAGCACGGTGTGCGATTTTGCCTTTCTTATCTATTGTTGAAAAATGTCCTGACTATCCTTTTGATATTGGGAAACATAAAAAAGTCACAGGACTCATGTCCGGAGAATAAGGTGGTTGCGGCATCACAACGACGTTGTGTTTCGCCAAGAACTGTTGGATAAGCAAAGTGGCACGCATTGTCATGGTGCAAAATCCACGAGTTGTCTCTCATATTCTTGTCGTTTCCTCCCGATAGCCTCACGCAAATTGCGCAAAACATGTAGGTAGTATTCCTTATTAACTGTACGACCAGACAGTAAAAATTCGTGATGAACTTATCCATCGTAGTCAAAGAACCAAGACTAGATCTCACCTTACCTTCAATGTCTTCTTGGCCTTCCTGAAAACATTTGTACTATTGATAAACTCATGGCTGTGATCTAGTATTGCTGCCAAAGGTCTTCTTTAACATTTTGCTGCATTTAATTCTGCTTTTAACAAAATATCAGACAAATCTGATTTGACATTTCATCGCACAAAAAATCATCAAAAACACACACCAAACACAAATTAAGCAGCTGCCTAAAAATTGACAGGTACTTCACTGATAGTGCTACCGATACACAAAAAATGAATCAAGTCCATAGATAAGATACAACACATGCAATTTAAAAATTCTTGTTATTTTTTGGTCAAACCTCGAATCATCCTGAATTAGTACATTTGGGCTAAGAGAAAAGTAAAAAGAAACTGATAATGCTGTAAAAGATTTAATAAGTTAATTCAAAACTATAAAATGAGCAATTCAAACAGGTACAAACAAAATTTTAGCATATCGCTTAATGAAAAAAATCCAGTCCAATTAAAAAAAATATCAGATCTGTTATGTGGACAATTTTTTTGATCGTTTGGTTGACATTGTTATTCCTCTTAGAGATCGCATCGCCATAGCTTTGTTAAAGTGTCTCTGTGGTTTAATTTCTTCAGGACATTCAGTAATATTGTCAACAGAAGACAATATTACCAAAAGAACCCCTAATACCTACAATAGTGTTAGTTTAAGCCAGATACATTATCCAGGATCATTTATACTAACCAGACAAACAATAATTACCAAAGTATAAATGTGTATGGTTGCTGCTGGCATGGTTTCCATTTCTTTAAGAGCTAAATGTGCTGGTTCAAACCCAGGATTTAACTCTAAGGTATGCCTTAAATGTATAGAAGCTTCTTGATAATGGCCATATGCTTTAAATATTTCACCTAATGTGAAATATTGCTGCCAAGCACCTTTTTCTGGTGGCTGAACTTCAAGAGATCTTCTCGTTAAATAAATAGCATCATCTAAATATTGCAATGAAAACAACACCCTGGCTAAATTCAATAACACCTCAGCATTGTGCGGAGATGCTGCCAGTGCTCTTCGAAAACATTCAATTGCCTTACTTGCGTCACCTTTTATTCTCCAAAAATTTCCGATTTGGTTATAAAGTTGAACAGATTTGGGTTTCTAAAACGCAATTAAATAAGTCTCAAACTGAGCTTCTAAATCTATTTAATTACCTCTCTTTTGGCTTTCTTAAGTTTACGCTCTAAAGCATCAATATCTAATTCATCGAGATCATTTTTAAGCCTTCCAAAATTTTTATTAAAATATAGAATAGCTTGCGGTTCAGGCACACTAGGATGTCTATTCCTATTTAGAACCCCTACCAGATTATCATAATATGTAAAATTGACAGGTTTGCCACAGTCTAAAACTTCTTCATTAGTTTTCAATTTTAAATTCTTTACTGCCATAACTTCATGAGTATTGTTTGTATCATTTCTAAAATATTTTTATAAACTAATTAAATTTTATATTTACATTTATAACAACACTAGTAAATAAAAATTAAAAGATTACAATACTTACTTCTCATCAGTAGTTCGGCAACTTATACAATAGTATTGTACAGCCTGTTTAATCCACGATTGGCCAAAGTGTTCGGTAGAAGTAATTATGTCAAAAAGAGGATCCTCTAATAATCCTTGGCTGGAAGTGTCACTTGAATAGGATAATACGGGATGAAATGGATTGGCTTCTATAATCTTAGTCCTATCTGAATTCAATTTCCATAAAGTAGAAGTCTTTGAGTTTATTATTATCACTTCGAAACACAAAATGTAAAAAAACATTACTACATTCTGTGAGTCTCGACACATATTGACTAGAAGCGTTTAAATGTGAAAATTAGTAATAATTTAATGAGAGCACATTGCTTTACTCCACTTTATATAAAAGTAGAGATAAGTCAGGACTAGGAATAAACAAAAAATATCAACAAACTAATTTCTGTCAAAAATGTCTATTTAAAATCAAATTCTTCTTCTTCACATACTTACAGCCATGTGATCTGTTCTTTCAGCAGAATACACAGACCACCTAGACTAGCCGTATCTAATTCCAATTGTTCCAATGCACGGGTACCAGTGAATGCAAAAACCGGGAAGTGGAGTGTGGAAGGCAATCTGATCGCGCGCATCTTTAAGCAGATCCGGATTAAGTAATATTTTTTTTACATATTAAACATTATATTGCATCTTATGACAAATATTCAATTTTAAGTTTGTAATTCAGAAAATAGTATATTTTAGTGTCATATTAAATAAA